TTTTTATGATCTTTTTCTATTTTTTCAACAACAACTTACTTAATTAATCTAAAAATGTAAAATAAAATCCAAAATGCAGATGCAATATATTTTGTTTTTTGTATTTTCATAATCTGAAATACTACATAATGCATTTTAAAATAAGATAGAAATATTGCACAATACCAAAGCTAATCCTAATTAATTAAACTAAATATAAACTATTTTTGCGTTTTCAAAATAAGGTACTATTTTTTAAAATTGTTTTTTATGAAAAGTACATAAACTAAAATACTTGCTTGTAATTTTTATTTTTCTTCTAAGAAAATAAAATAAAAGAGTTAAAATGAGTTGAAATAGCTATATTAAGCCTAAATTAAATATTTACGTGCTAAAATATAAATTTTTTGGGGAAGGTCAAAAATCACATGTCTACAGCTGCCCCTCTTTGACTGGAAATGTGAAGAGTTTTCAGACAAAGAACGACTAGACATGTTTTTTGACCCGACCCTTATTTAAAGAGACCAAAACTTAAGAGAAAAGGGAAATGTGACCGAGCCCTGGTATTTGGGCTTCCTACATATCCTTGGCTATAAAAGAATCAGGTCACGTGTAGTTCAGAAGTAAGTGAGATGATTGAGTATGCCGAGGTGGAGAGCCAGTCGAGGTGCCGTTCCGTCGAAGTTCTGATCCGTNGAAATCCATTGTTGCCGCTTTGCACCGACTTCTTGAAATGATCTCCCTCTCGCTATGCTAGTACCTGATTACTGATCCTTTAAATGTCTCCATCTTGATCATTGTCGTCTTCCTCTGCTCTCTAGGCGAGCTCCTGACTTCTTGATCTTGAATGTATTCCTCTTGATTTTTGTTGTATTCCTCTTGATTTTTGTTGTATTCCTCCGCTCTCCCGGCGGGTTACTGACTACTTGACTTAAAAAGGTATTCCTCTGTTCTCCAGGCGGGCTCCTGACTTCTCTATTTTTTAGGCGGGCTCCTCACTTCAAAACGTGAAATGTATCCCTATGTTATCCAGGCAGGCTCCTGACTTCGACATTTGAAATGTATTCCTCTGTTCTCCAGGCGGGC